AGCCATGGCACTGTTTATTTTTCAAGATCATTCGTGAGAATTTCAATCTGACTTTTGAGTTTCATTGTACTTAAGTCATAATTACCGTACGAGGAATAGGTCTGCAAAGTATTTACAGACCCCGATGGCAATATTTGAAGACCGAGAGAGCGTAGCGATCGAGGTTTTTAAAAGGCGAACGGATCTGTAAATACTATGCAGACCTATTCCGAGTGCGGTTACTATCTTACCTACATGCTCTTTTGTTTTTCTATCGATACACCAGTTTATAACTCGGTATTTATCAATATTACTCACAAGAAACATAATTTGTGTACTTAATCATGTTTAAGAAAGCATTCCAAAGTCATGCAAACATATCATCAGCTACGCTCTTGTAATTCATTCGTTCACAAATAAGGTGTTATTTGAATTTTCTCGTGGTTTTCGTGGGGTTTATAAAAGAGGTTATGACCCAATTATTTTAAGGCATACTGCATGCTTGGTTTTCAACCCTTTTACAGTTGGACGTTACGCTTTCCTCTTTTGATTACATCTGACGGACCAAGTGGGAGACTATGATGGACAGTTCTTAAAGCCCTTTGGAGACTGAATTGTCTTAATGTTCGTCTTCTGCCTTGTTTTGTCGTGCCCTTATAGGTGATTTTCTTGTTGCTCTGCCTTCCTTAAGGCATCGAGTACTTTGGTAATGGTCGTTAGGCAGTATCTTTTTCTACATATTTACATAATTTTGTATGTGTTTTATTTATTTCGTCTAATGTAACCCTGACCATTGTTAGAATTTCACTTGGCGGGGATTAATTTTATATACATTTTCGTGTCATTCAGGAACATATTGGGGCTAAGAGTGAGGTTTGGCGCGCCTAAAACCGGTTTAAACTCCCCAGTGGGTTAACTACTACTGACCGTTCCAAGGCGGCAACCTTTGCGTTCCTTCACATGTTTTTCTTGTCTGTATTGTTACTTGTTTTTGAATGTTTACATGTTTTGTGATGTCTGTCTTGTCTGAGTGTCGTTGACGGTAGGTATTTTCTCTCCCCCCTTCCATTTTTACCCCCCCCCACCTTTTCACCCGTACAGCCCTTTTCCCTTTAATTCCCTTATGGGCCTGTTTTTGTTTACATTATTTCGCATTACATGTCCTGCTCCTTTCGCCCTTGTTTCTAATCCAGGTACTTGTTTAGTGCCTTCTGGGTGTCCTGCTTGGGTGTGTCCGGGAGTGGCGTCCTGTGAACCTTGCCTTTGCCTTGTTGATCTTTATTCTTGTTATTTCATTATGTAATAAGGTCAGGCAATGTACTTGTTGAGTTGAGTCACAGAAAATGAAAACAAAACTTGTCAAGTAGGCAAAGGTAAGATTATTAATTTGATATATGAATGCATAATATATCAATGATATATATAAATATTGAGGAAGATAAAAATGATTTTTAATCATAAAAACGGAACACTTTTTCTTTATTTATAATAAATTTCATGGTAAATAGATGATCAGGCTTTTTCTAATATAATTAAAATATACGATTTCTTTAAAGGAATGTAATAGACAGGGTTCTATGAATAAATATTAGTAATACATGCAGATAAACCGTCATTTTAGTTGGGTTTTTTGTTGTTTTTTTTTATGATGGCTGATTTTATTTATTCTTAGAATTTAATTCATGTTTGGAAGAATTTTATTTTTGTGTATTCTTAACAGCATCATCCGTGATGCATATGTTTCATAAAACCGCATGTAAACACGCGGGCTAAAATGGAGGCGCAAGTCGTATTCTTGCGAAGAACAGGCGAGTACTGGTATTGTAACGTAAAAACTGAAAAGAAATGAGACAAAAACGGTCTTATACTTAAGATGAACTATACTCTCACTGAAAATAATATTTTGGGAAAGACAGATGCAGAAGGTCCCCGTACATTTAATCAATGATGTTATTTTTTTCGACCCTTGAAGATTGTTCAGCACGACATTATTGTTGTGTATACATATTTGTTAGTATTTTTAGTTTCTTGTATTTGACCTTTTTCAATTTGGGTGGTTCAAGTACTCCTACTTAAATACTGTATAATCACCCTTAGGAAATGTTGCCTCCCTTTTTAAATTGTCTTTTGGAACTGGTCATTAACCCATATTAATTTGCACAATTCAGCGATATTCTTCAAAATTTCTGCGTTAACGGTGAATATTATGTAATATACGAGTTTCTCGACTTCACATATTTTCTTTTGTATACAGGACAATAGAATAAGAAGTTTGCTTTTTTAAAAAAGAAGCATGCGAGAAGTCTTTTGGCTGCTGTTGAAGATTTGCTTAACTCCAAAATGATGGGATATTTTTGCATAAAAGACGCAATGAATGGTTATAAATTACAAATATTTAACAAAAAAAGAATTTATTACATATATTGAATATAGTATCATAAAGAGAGCTTGCTTTATACATGTTTAAAAGATTATTTGCCGTAGAAAGGGACTTTTTTCTTGGCGCATTGGGTATACTTTTTCTACAAAGGGAATTAAATTTGAAATAAACGATATATATATATTTAAAGTTGTGTCAAAATAGTTGTTTTTTTTGCTAAATTCAATAAGCAGATTTTCAGTTAATGTTTTGGTAGTTATATGGAAACATTTCCTCCGGGCATACAGAAAGTATGTTAATCAATCAATTTTAACTCCAGGATTTACATAAAAATGTTTATATCATTTGATTGGAATGAATAGGATATAAAACTGCATGCCTCCAACCACAATATTTGAAGAAAATCAAACTTGCGTAAAATTTGTACCATTTGCGCCAAATAATCTCCGTTGCGTTATTAAGTCATACCGGTTCAAATGTTTAAGGAGTAGGAAAGTTTCGGTACACGGTTGACTCGGTCATATGATAGTGCATTCTGTTAATATTTATCGGAACATGAAATAGTAAAACGCTATTCAGAAAACAATGTGGTATACAGTTTAAATAATTAAAACGGAATGAAACATCTACGTAGTAGTAAGTACCGTAAATGATATTTTCCGATTTTTCTATGTACCGATTTGTTTAAACTGATGCTAAATTTTCGTTTAAGTTAAGTCGTATTTTAAAACGGAGCATGCACAAAACAATATTTGTAGACTGCTCCTAGTAATTTTACGCTTTAAAAGAGATACATTCAGTACAATCAGATACGCATAAATGGATGCCGCCAGCAATCAGTCTGAACACTATGGAGAGGTCTGATGACTTCTCCAATAACAGATCAGGTTATATTTGCAGACCTGTTAAGCGGTCGGTAAGTGATTTACTAGACCGCATTTAACAAAAGAGCCGGTAGGTAAAAAAAATCATCGTATATATTACATTATGGATTTTGATATTCGGTGTGCAAAACCAAAACTACTCGTGCGTGCCTTGATATACACGATGTAAACGCAGTCATCTGAAACGGACAAATATTTACTCTTTTTATGTTTTGTAAGTTTTTTTTACAGAAGTTAAAGTCTTAACATGTATTTTAAAGTTATTTTCTTAATGCAATGTGGTAAAAGTGATTAGCTATGTATAAACTAAAAGGATATTGAATGAGCGCAGGTTTAATACTTCATTTAATACTGAATGCTGTAACAGACGTGTATTTCATATTACATTACTGTCACTCATGTCATAGCACATACAAATTTAGTTTTTATTTTACAAAGGTCTTATTAGATGGTAATGAAGTAAGAGTTCATCGCAGACGCTTTTAGAAGATTTACATATTAAGGTAAAATAAAATGACCTTAAATGCACTATATTTATAACGCTAGAAACTCCAATATTCTAAATATTTTCATTTTAAAAAATAATTTAAAATTTATCTTTATTGGATCTTTGTAATATTAGTTAATTATACTTTGGTTAAAATATACCTAAAGAACACATATTTCTTTCATTCTAGTTATACTTTGGAAAGAATAATACCAAATATGTTGATAGATTAATGTTTATTATGAGCAGACCCAATATCCATTGTAATATAACATCCATAATAATAATAACAGTCAGGTCAATGCTGTTCTGACAACATAAAGACATATTTAGCTTGCAAAAATAATTTTTCATCATAGGAAAATATCCCTTATCACGTCCCCAATAAATACATCCGTCATAAAACATCTAAAGATAAATATATTCAAACTGAAAATGTTGCGAAAATATAGAATTACTCTGAGTCATAACTTTTATATGATCTAAATATGATCTAATCTTTATTTAACGAAGGTAGTCTGTTTCCTTATAAGGCTCTACTTTTGTGTCTGTTTTTAATCTTTACCTAAACATATAATAAAACAACTTTTGACTAGTGAGCCATTACATATGATATGATATTCACCAGCACATCGGATATCGCCTCAGTCAATATGTTATCTGTCGATGGATATCACATCAAATTCAATGGCTCATTAGTCAATAATTGTATACTATTAAAACTATCTTTACCCCTTTACTCGAACATATTTTTTACAACAAACAAGAACATTTAGAAAATGATGGTTGTTTCAGACGTATGCACACATTTTACGGACTATTGTTGCTTTTTACAGAAGTTTGTAAAACGTTGTTCTGTTTTACGTAAAAATCTATAGATTTAAAATGTTTTGAACAATAACTTTGTTGTTAAGGTGTTTGAATAAAATTGTCAATTCTGACCAATTCTAACACTGGTCACATAAAAATATGCCAAATGATGACGCGGAAATAGTGATGTTGAGTACAATACCTTTTTATTCTTTAGTTGAACTATAAGCTTTTCTTTTACCTGTATTCAATAAAAGATATCTATGGATGTTATTTGTTATTTAGGAAACAGTATGTACACCAGAAAATGCTATTCTAATATTAGTAGTATTGTACTGTTTTTGTTCATATTTTTATATGTTCATGCTTAAAGCATTATTTAACGTTTTCAGCACTAACACTTAAACTACTTTTTGCAGCCAAATTCGTCCTTGGTTGATAAGTATTTCTTATGTTTCAGGAGGAAATGACGGACAAATATTATCGACTAGTTACCATTTTGGTTAACATATGTCCTAATCCTCTGCGGGAATTATTTTTGAAACAGGCAGCCACAGACCCTAATCTCCAAACACCATACACTACATTAGATGCTTATTTAGCGTTCAGGAGAAACGATATCAATAAACTTACCCAAAAACCAAAATGCCTTCTACAAAATTATCAATTTGATTTGTTATTCCCATCTGGTGGCAAAGGTCAAACAGATATCGGCGCATGGGATGTGACATTGTTAATTTCTCTGTTGAAAAACATTTTTAACGTAGCTCAAAGTGACCTTATTTGTATCGAAAACATTAGAAATATAAGAAATGACCTCCAACATATTGCAGGTACCTGTCAAATAACAGAACAAGATTTTAAGAATATATATACAGCCTTAAGTGCGAACATTTTACAATTAGCATTATCTGCTAAAGGTCAATGTTATGAAAAAAAGATTAAACAAGATATTGAAGAGGTACAAAGTTCTGTATTAACAGATCTAGGGGATGTGCTAAGGTCATGGTACATGAGCAAAATCGTAAAATTGGAAGCAAAGATAGAACACCTTAAGGATCAGATAGGTGAAATAAAACAAGATACAGGCAAAACCAAGAAAACTTTGAAGAAAACCACTGTCAAGCGAACACGAGCCGGGGGTAAATTAACGAAACGCTTCAAAACTATTGATCATATACTTGAAAATATGAGAGGTAAGCCTTCTTATGAATTTTAAAGTTTTGTCAAAAAGTTAATCGCATTATAATTTAGTGGTCGTTTAAATCACCAATATAAGCATTGAGGCAATGCCTGACAGTAAATGTTTATTCTTGTTATTGGAGAATTTAAACCCTAAGGTTCCCATCAATAAAACATTGTTTATATGATTATTATTGATACATTATGCATTAACATTGTCTTGCATTATTGACATTATGTTTTCAAATAGAAAACTTTGCGTCTTTACTAACGAAGAAACTTGACAGCGACTTTACACCTCCGCCAGAAAATGCAAAGATCATTGCAGAAATCGAAGATAATCACCTTGTGGTCGTGTCAGGATACGGCAAAGGTCTGTATCTTCAAGCGGCGCTTTATGCTATTAATAGCAAGGGATATGAGGAGCACGATTGCATCCTATGTTCACGTCCCACAGACTGGCGCCATATTGGTAAGGAAGATGCCAAGTTAGTTGTGTTCCTTCACCCATTTGGCAAGGGTACATTTGATTTACAGAAAGCAAAAGATTTTCGTTCAATTGTGGATAGCATTGTTGAAACAACGTCCTCTAGCGACAATGATGATGTGCTGGATGTTGTCATAATACTGGACCAATCAATTTTAGTTGAATGGAAACGACATTTCAGTCATGATATGATGGAACAACCAATCCTTGTCTACAAACCAACCACTGTAGACACACCTGTTGACCTTATTGAAGGTACACGTATTTTGTTGCATTCATTCATTTTAATGATTACAAATAGTTCTAAACATGATAAAGGTGTTTGTATCTGACTGCTTACTTGTGATGTCTTTATATTTTACTTATTTGAAGTAAGTAAGCTGTTTGTTATGTGTACATTTCCTTTCATCAAAATCAAGATCTAGATGCTCAACATTATCCTTTAGAAAGCATGGTCCTAATACTTAACTTTAAAATAAGCCTTTGAAGTGGAATGAGAACGTCCTACTGAATAAAGTATATGATACCATCCTTTTTATTTCATTTTAAGGTGAATTCAATATGTCAAATGTTGAAGCAGATCCACGCTACGAAAATTTACTCGGTATGTATAATTCAGTTTTTAATGTCATAATACGTAAAAACACAAAATTGAATATACAATGTAGATACTTTAAATTATTTTTGAACAACAAGTATATTCAGAATCTAAAAAAACTCACTATAGTTGTTAATAATCAAAAAAGACTTCTCATTTTCCATCTTGCAGTTCAATCAATTGCCTACAATAAACATCATAGAGCAAAGATGGCAGATGAACATTTTCTAGAAAGCGCATTGGCAGAATTCCGCTCTAAGAAGGTAATCGTAATTTCCGGTCCGCGTGGCAGTGGCAAAACAACGCTTGCTCTCTCCCTTCTGTCGTCATATCAAGATGGTCATTATCTCATACTAACAGAACCGGATGATCTCAGCTGTGTCAGATTTGGTGTTACCTGTGTTGTGATCATCGAAGATCTTGGGGGAAAGTACACGTTTGAAATGTCCGTCATTCAAAAGTGGTTGCGGAAATTTGATATGCTCTACTCGGCAGTCAAAGATGGCAAATTAAACGTGATCATCACATGTCTAACAGACCGGTTGATTTCATGCGTTCACGATTCGAAGCATCCAATGCTGGAAACTGTCATTGAATTACCAAAAGATTTGTCTGTTGAAATCAAGAAAGAGTCATTGACAGGTTCGTATATAAATAACACATGCCTGGGTTTATGGGTAACCCCGAGGAAAATACTGTTACCCGATGCGTAGCCGAGGGTAACAGTATTTTTACGAGGGATGATATTTTTACTGTTACTCACAAACCCATGTGTTATTTATTTTATTACCCCGAACAGAAATACTGTGATGATCTGAAATTGTCAACTAAATCTAACTGTAACAAAAATAAACCAAGAGTAACAATAACTAAACTGGCCTTACCTTATAAGTTTTAAGTGTACTTTAGGCCTACTTGAGAAGTTTTCTGTTTCTTTTATTCTCTAAGTAAGTGATGATATCCGCAAATCATAAACATACAATAAGCTAGGTTTTATTTAGAAAACAAACACTAACCCATTTACACGGTTATGATCTGTGAAATCTGATCCTTCTGGTTCCAGAATAATCTTAGCATGGTTTTTGCCAAAATAACGATGATATCCTATGTCTGTCCACCATATCTGTAACGTTTCATTGATTAAAATTGTAAATTAATCCTTTGTTGCATGCTTAAATCGTCTGCATGTTCCAGTTTGACACATAATTATTTACATAATTATTTCCGTTGAAAACGGATGTTCACTTTTTGACTATTCAACAAAAAGATATTTTTACGCGAAAAGCACACCAGGTTGCAAACAACTAAATTTAATGAGTGTCATGGTTACTCCAGAGAAGAAATTGATGTCCTATTGGGGTTTAACGTTGAAAATAAGAATAAATCGAGAAAAAAATGGCGGCCATTTTATTTAATTCTATTTAGAAAATAGACCACGTGACCAGATTTTATACTGTTAAAATACGATTACATATGTAACAGTACAAAATTCTTTGTCACGTGGTACACTTGCATATACAGTAAAAAATAACTCCCAGAGGCCTATGGGAAATTAGCATTACGAAAAAAGTGAGGAGTAATAATATGAAATGTTATCTAGCAGTATACTATTTAATCTTAAATTTTCCGAATATTTTTTTTCAATATTGATTTTTAAATTTTGGTAATTATTCATATATTAGTTGCGTTTGCTGGCTTTAGATCTATATTTACATATAAATGTTTTTATAAAAAATCTTATTCTTTTTTGCATAAAGGGAAAAATTACGATCACCTATATATTTTCAGATGGTAATTCCGTAATGTATGCTGGAATAAGGTAAGACCTCTTTTGTTCGGTTTGTTCTATTCCAGGTGATACTTAATTGTCAAATGTTTATTTTAGGATAAATGTTATTGTGTAACAAGCATAATTTTTATAATGATAACTTGTTTTTTATTATCTATTATTATTTTGTATGCCTAAGTAAAATATCGGACAAATAAGGTTATGTTTGTCCCAGGTAAAATATCTTTTGATTTTACATCGAAACATCAATAAAGACATAAACATACGAGGGATTTTTACTAAAATATCTATATGTGTGGCATATTCGGTCATAAATAATTCCGTTTTAATATACAATGTTATTCCTGAAATGTGCAGGAAAAGAAGTTGTTATCTTTGGTGTAAATGACATTCTTTTCTACTTTTTTTGTCATTCGAAAAATCATTCGTACAACAATATGCCGCCATTATTTTGAAAATCTGAAGTCGTCTTCGATGAAAGAAAGTCGCAATATAATGTTTTTTTGTCATAGGACATTTAATAAAGGTACGAATTGTATGTTTATTATCATTTTTACAATTTTCCCATTTCACAATGTGAAAAAAAGAGGAATTTGAGTAAATGAAGGTTCAAAACTGAATATATATAACGAGTAGAAAAATGTTTCTTTGTCTTCTATCTTAGTTATTAGTCGGTGCTTTTTAATGTCATCTTACACCTACCCGTGTATGAAAAGCTTCGTGCGTTAAAATGGCGTAAATCTCTCTCTTTTTATGAATAAATGGCGTGCTAAGGATGACGTTATTTCATCGTTAATATTCATACACTGCTATTAATAATAGAAAGAGCATCGAAAAACGAGGCTTATGTTTTGTCAGATTGCCGAGTGCTTTTGTTCTTTTTCTTTTATTTCATAGGCAAAATAAAGACACAATAGGAAAAGTAAATAATGTACGAGCATCTGAATTTTACTTTTCGATCGCTATCCCTTTCTTTATCGACACGAAAAGTAAACCAAAGAAAAATGAGCCTATCAACAATCATAGTCTTTTTATATCCCAGTGAGTGCGGTAACTGAAGTCCAGGTAAACAACATACAAGTAATCATTGCATGATGTAATATATCAAAATATCCGGCTCCCTGGTAACTTTTTGGTAGAAATATGACAAAGAACTTTACCGCTTTAATTAGGTCCCGTCGGGCCTTTTATTCTGGTCTGTTATGGCAGCATGTTTACAAATTTAAAGCCCAAGGTGAGCATTATATTGAAGCTTTCGAATTTTCCTATTCTTCTTATCATGTAAGTATCCGGAAAAAATAGTTCGTGTGTGATAAATACTTTACCCATTTAAGGTAAATATTTTTCTACATTTTGTGGGCTTATAAGCTTGATGTAATTATTTTTTTTGACTTTATATCAAGCTGAACAAGCTGTTCTTTTTCCGCAATATTTTTACTTCCAACTGATCAATGCCGCAATAGCTTTTTTCGATCTTATTAAATCAACCAAATTCAAATAGTCATAGCTCTTTGAATATTATGTCTCAATGGTTAATAAATTAGCATATACGTATACAGAAGATATATATATATATATATATATAAGGGTGGCGTTTTTAGGCTATCTCTTCGCCACATATTGCTCTCAAGAGATATAGCTCTCTGGAGAGCATTATTAGTTGACATCAAACTAGACTTGCAGCGAATTTAGCTTCCAACAAATCATTATACTGATTATCGTCATTGCCATCATCATTTATTCTTCTACTTCTTCCTCTTCTTCTCCTTATTTATAAATTATCATCAGTACATCATCATAATTATTGATATGCTATCTATCCTTATCATCACAAGTACATCATCAACACAATCATCTGTGAAATCCTCATTAGTACTGTCATTTTAACACCATCATCATGAATTCGAAATGTTATTTCTTAAATAAATGGCAGCATTGCCGGGTGGTTATCTCTTCATTAGCTGGGTTGTTACATCCAAACAGCGACAAGCCGTTGTAAATTTGAGCATGAAACTGGACACACATAGCTCGGTACTTCCTTGTTTCGAAAAACAGACTCAAGAGTAACCTTATAGCTACCTTCACATTCGAAGTTTAAAAAAGCTTGTCTTAAGAAAGTGACTCAAATTGAACCAATGTATAATTTGCGAGTCTATGAATTTCAATATGTCTTGTAATTACAAGCACCTGTTACTAACAATCAATGTTTACTTCAACGTGTATCTCTCTTGGAATAACAGAAAGAAGGCTCGTTTAGGCATTGGGTTTAAAGTATCATGCCTCCAGATTCATGCTTATCTACTTGAAAACTTTAATATTGTATTTAAGGTAAAATATTGTAAAGTGAAAAAAATTAACAAATAACGATTCACAGAAATAACCAAAAAGAGGCCATAAATGCTAAAAGGTCCATTTCCATGAAGTACGATGTTCTTGAAATATTTCTGGTCATTTAGAGGCATACAGCTTTTTCAAGTTACACGAATTTATTTCATGTTTACAAAAATACAAAAAAGTAGTGATGAAAATATATTTAAGAGATGAATGAGACCAACAATTTCCTTTTCCTGCACTTTATATTTATATAATTTAAAAAGCATTGGAAAAGAGACACCGGACTTTATATCATTTACCATAAAAATAGTAATGATGCTGCTGAAAGTGATCAAACCAAGCTGATTTTGATAAGATAATAAAGAGAATTCTATAACAAATGTGATGATAATTATAAAGTTAATAAGAAAAGTATGATTATGGTGATGAAAGAGATGATAATTATGATCTTAAGGATAATGATAGGAGTAACAAATAACGATCAAATGCTGATGATGAGTGTAATGATTAAGATTATCATGCAGTTGATTATTATTTTAATAATGATAATGCTGGTATGCAGGTGTAAATGACTATACATTATAACGATGCTGATTATGATGATGAAGGTTGATGATAATATGATTCTAATGATGATAATAATGGCAGTAATGATGATTTGGGAGGCAATGGTAATTATGGTTTCGATGAAGATTATGGTGAATGACAATACTTCGGACTATATAGAATCATAGTTCCCCCATCCCATAGTTAGCGTTTAACATGTTTGTATGCTAAGAGAATTGTGGCGTTAATGCTGAGTCCCTATGTGTTGTATGTTTTATATCTTAAATAGGTAAATTTGATCATGCCTAGTTATATTAAGGTGTAATGATGTTGTATATTTGGTAGATGAAATAAGTAAAAGTAAAAAAAGTGTTATATGTCGTACACATGTAGTAAAACATAGTTATGATAAGACGAACCAAAACTTATAACAAAGTTCCATTTATTATCATCATCATTATTATATTCTTATATAGTTAGTATTCCTCAGAAAAATCTTGGATAATTTAAATTTCAGTGAATTTAAAGGCATTTGAATTAACAATATATTCTGTGATAAATGTATGGTTCAATGTGACCAAAAACTGTCAGTTTATTCATTTCAGTATAGAACAATGATCAGTCAAATATCACTGTTTAAAAACTGCAACAATTGTATTCTTAATAAACAACCTATTTACTACTACATTGTCTACACCTTGAAAAAAAAAGACTTGATAAAAGTCCTTTACGCAGAACATGTCTTTTTGATAATATATGTGTAGTGTTATATTATATAAAGCGTTCACAAAATTAATATGAACCACTTCGTTAACGCTTCATTCATTTGGCTAATGAGTAAAGACGGTAATTACACGATATAGGGCTCGAATCTAAGATCCCTTCAACTTGAATAACAGATAAACAAACGTACCACTGGAAAACATCTGCCCTTTATTTAGTATAATTATTCAAGAACATCTACACAAACACATACCTGTTGTATATTTTCTTAAAGGTCTAGAACATACAAATTAATATTTTAGGAAGTGATTTTTTAAGTAATTAAGCACTTTCGTGATTATATAATTCCAGGAGGTAACATCATTGTTTTGGATGAGCATTTGATTTTGACAACATTTGTCAATAATACTGTTTTATACTTGTATTGTTATTATATTTCAGTACGAACACATCATCCTATAACAGAGTAAAGAAGATCCAAACGCATACATTTAAAACCCCTGAAAATGTGAAAATTTGCTACGCGACAGAATGTTGTCAACATCCAGATGGATCATTTCTCTATTTAGCCATAATACGAGTATCATCATTTTATGAGAATGAAGATGATTCCATCTGTACATCTCAGATATGTAAATATGTTATTATTCATATCAGTTCAGACTTTGAATACAAATGTTACTACAATACTGGTATAAAAGAAAACTATAATTCTACAAAACATATCTGCTGTACTGATACTGGGGATGTGGTGATGTATGTGAAAAGAAAATTAAGATTGTACAGAATATCAAGCGGAAGACTTCAATTCATCAAATCTACAGATATGAAGTTTGAGTGCACAAATATTTCCTTCTTCAAGAATAAGATTTACTGTTTTACTAAAATGAAATCATTAATTCTAGATACAAATCTGAATAAAAAGAAAGGAGTAGAACGAGATGACATTTCTGTAAAATATACTTTACCATGTTCATTACAAAAGTACATTAGTATTTCTGAATCAGATTGTGTCGAGTATCATATCCTATGTGAGGATTCCAGACTTAAGCAACTTAAATATTTTAGAAAGGAAGGATTTCTACCTCTTTGTATGTGTGCTGCTACTGAGAACAGTGTATTCTTATTTGGGACACAGGATGACGACTACAAGATCTTACAGGTGAACACCGACATGACGGTCATCTCAGAAATATGTATGGACGAAAATGAGATGGGCTTGATTGATATGTGGGATGTAGATAAAATGGTATTTGACAAAGATAATTCCAGATTAGTCATAACATTTATTGATGACGATGACGATGACGAGTTTGTAATGTTTCATACAATATACTTAGAGTGAACTGATTATATACCATTGTTCCATGTATATTTTTTCTCAAACTTAGACAGTCTATGCAGTTGCACTGTACTCACCTGCTTTTTTCATATTCATAAACAAAAAGATGATTTTAATTTCCTCATATTTTATACTTCAATAAAATGTTTTCTTTTACAAACATGCTATAGGAAAACTGTGAAGAAACATTATTTCATAATCTATAGATTACTCTATATTTTACAATTTATTAAAATCAAATTATCTCAACAAATAAATGGTGTGTAAAACTGGATAAATCACAATATAGTCTGTCCCACCACTTTTAAAAAAATTATGTTTTATTAAATTTAATAGTAAACACTTCTAACTTATGTTAACCCTTGAGTCAGTGTCTCTGTGCATGTTTTCACTTTTTTTTAAAAGAGCATGCAATTATAAAAATATTAACTTATTTTTTTAATTACTTTTTGTTTGTTTTAGATAAAGAATATATCGTTAACATAAGTTATAATCCAGAAACATGTATTTTCTACTAGTTCCTTAATAATATGGTTGTATGTGTGCCAGTTGTGGTTACAGACAGGTCAGTCATAAATGATCATATTATACCTGAATGTTTGTATTTAAGGAACTTCACTTACGTCTTAAACATTAGATTTTAATTTCTTACATTGGTCTGCTGAGGCACTTAAAAAGAGAGATATGTAAAAGAAATTCAGAAAATATACTCTGAAATTAATTGAATATTATAGCTCGATTTGAGTGAAAGACGTTGCAGTATTGATGTATACATTGATGTATACGGTCATTTTTTCATAATATTCAATTAGAATAATTATCCTAGAAAATGATCTGAAGTTAACACATTCAAAATTTATTGATCTACACATAGCAAATGGAATATTAATCTCTAAAGATTATTTCTAGTCCCGTTATGTCAAAAAAGCCTCAGTGAAGTCCCTTTAATGCAGACAATTTTTATATTGTTCATATTCTATGTATACATGTCAATTTGGATTTTCATAATTTCATATTAAGCTTATATTTCATGTTCCATATTGTATATTACTTAGTAACAGATAATATTACTTGTCGTAATAAATGAAATTAAGTCTATCTGTTCACGATGTTATGCCTCATATGTACTTGCACAATCTTTTAAGGAATTTTTCAAGTAATTATGTTTACAAATATAATACTAGAAAACTTGCTTAATGAATTCTTTGAAAGTATGTTTTTACATACCGTGATTTTTGAGCTCACCTGTCACAAAGAGACAAGGTGATCTTTTGTCATCGCTTTTCGTCCGGCATCTGTCCGTCCGTCGTCCATTGAATTTTACTTTAAACGACATCTCCTTATAAACCACTGAGCAAATTTCATTCAAATTTCACAAGAATGTTCCTTTGGTGGTCAACTTTGAAAATTGTTCAAAAAATTTAATTCCATATAGAATTCTGGTTGCCATGGCAACTGAAAGGAAAGAACTTTAAAAAATCTTTTTAAAAAACCCCTAAGAGCTAAAGCATAGATATTTGGCAGTATTCATCTTCTAGTGAGTGTCTACTAAGTTTGTTTAAATAAAAGCCCTGAGGTCAAACTTAACCCCGCACATTGGGAGGTCATGGGTTTTCCATATGTCAATTGTAAAAACTTAAAAAATCTTCTTTAAAAAATCTCAAAAAGCTAGAGCTTAGATATTTGGCATGAAACATCTTCTTTGCTTGTCTACCAAGTTTCTTCGAATAAAAGCCCTGGGGTCAAAATTGGTCCTGCCCCGGGGGCCATTGAATGTCCATATATGTCTAATGTAAAAACTTTTGAAAAATATTCTTTTGAAAAACCCCAAAGAGCTAGAGCTAAGATATTAAGCATGAAACATTTTCTAATGAGTGTCTACCAACGTTGTTCAAATAAAAGCTCTTGTGTCAAAATTGGCCCCGCCCCGGGGGGAGGGCGATTGATTTTCCTTTTATGTATTTAGACCTTTTTACGACGCGGTCGGATGCTATAAAATTGACTGGAAGTGGTAGTTTTTCGCGCATGCGCAAAAAGAGCCTTGCCCTACATAGAAATGTAGTATAAATTCATAGACAATTCGGAGTTAGTTTAAGGTAAAAATTAGAAAATCATATAAAATAGCTTTTAACAGAACACAAAAGATGTCTTCATAGCTTTATGGACAAGATTGGCTAAAATGGTAGGGAAAGACGATTTTTTAAGAATTCCCCCTTACGATCACGACCCTGACATTGAAATTATTGTTAAAAAATGTTGAAATCTATCTCTGGATACTGCCAACCCCTCTTACGAGTGTTAAAGGCAGGAATTTAGTGCACGTCGGATTGTTAGTAAAAGGTGAAGAGAAAAGCTAAAAAGAAAAGTCCAAACATTGACATGCTTGGAAGGTGAGACTGAAAATGTATTCTATTCATGGTTAAAATGTTAATAGTGAAACAAGATGATAAGAGATAAAATAGTTTAAAAACACTGGGAGTAAGACTAGTACTGCAAACCCACCACTGCCTGTTTGAACTGACTCAGGTTGGGCAGGGTGGCAATGTTACTAGGAAGTTTATTCCATAGTATAATGCTATGAGGGAAGAAAGAGTACTTATGGTAGTCGGAGGATACCTGTATTTGACGTAGGGATAAGGGATGCATATGTCTGGTTAATCTATGTGGGGTTTGAACATAAGTTGGGAGATTAATTGCAACTAGGTTATGGTATATCTTATAAAAACATTATCAGTCTACAGTCCAATCTGCGATGTTCAAGGGATCGCCAGCCCAGTTCTTCCTGCATGGCTGTGACACTAGAGTGAGGGGAGTAATCCCTTTTAACCCATCTTATTGCACGTCTCTGGATCATCTCAACTTTGTCAATATTGGTTTTAGTATAAGGAGACCAAATAGATGAGGCATATTCAACCTGTGGCGGACCAGGGACTTGTATGCTAGTTCTTTACTTTCTCATTTTTAGTGATGACATTTCTTTTAATAAAGCCAAGGGATCTGTTTGCATTGGAAGTTATTCGAGATATATGTGTATTAAATTTAAGGTCAGCAGATAGATCTAGTCCGAGATATTTAGCATTTGTAACAGACTCTAGGACTTGGCCATGGAGCATATATTTGTGTTTAATTATGGTCTTATTTTTGGTGATATGGATGACTTGGCATTTTGAAGGGTTAAACTCCATGTCCCACTGCTTCTCCCACAGAGCCATATTGTCTAGATCATGTTGGAGAGTTGGGGGGTCTGAGGAGGAATTGATGGTTAGGTATACAGCAGTGTCGTCTGCAAATAATCTGACTTGGGATTTGAGGACAGAAGATGGTAACTTGTTGATATATAGAAGGAAACAAAGGGGCCCTAGGACCGAGCCTTGGGGCACTCCAGAGGTAACTGGGACTTCGGATGAGCAGTCACTATCCACAACTACAGTCTGTCTACGGCCAATAAGGAATGACTGTATCCAGTTTAGAATTTGAGGACAAACACCATGTTCTTGCAGGGTATCTAAGAGTTTAAGATGGTTTACTTTATCGAAAGCTTTGGAGAAGTCAAGAAGTATGAGATCTGTTTGTTTGCCATTTGAAAGGTTGTTCACAAGGTAATCAGTAAGTTCAATGAGTTGTGTCTCACATGATCGTCTTTCTCTGAATCCATGCTGAAGATCAAAGAGTATGTTGTGGGTGGTAAAGTGAGAGGATAGTTCAGAGGCAACTATATGTTCGAGTGTTTTACAGAGGATGCATGTAAGGGAAATTGGGCGATAGTTTGCTGGATCACTTGTATCACCTTTTTTGTAGACAGGGCATACGTTTGCACGAGTCCAGTCATTGGGAATATTACCGGTGGTCAGGGATTTTTGGAAAAGAACTGCAACGATGTCAGCAATCTCTCTTCTCAGCTCCTTCAGGACAATTGGTCTAATGTTGTCAGGGCCGGCAGCTTTGTTGGCATTGAGGTTGGCGAGGAGCTTTAGTACACCTGCCCTACCGATGATGATGTCATTCATTTGTGGGTACTGACAATACTTTCTGGGATCCATGAGTCTCAGTTTTTGTATACATTGATCTTTAAGTGTGAGTGGTTTAATTGGTGAGAAAACTGATTGAAATTGTTTGTTAAGAATGTTTGCTTTTTCAGTGTTATTAATTTTGAAAGAACCTGACTTTTGATCTTTTAATGGAGACACACTTTGTGAATCTTGTTTAGAGTTTTTTATAAGTGAGTATAGTTTTTTGGTACAAACTTTACTTTGTGTATTAGTTTCATCATCATCATCTGCAAGGTTCAGGATGTTTTCTAAGTAAGATTCATATGATTGTTTAAATCTAGCTTTTATTTGCGATTTCAAATTTATAAATTTTAGCCATTGATCATGATCAGATTTATTTTTATTTGTTTTCGGTTTTTTAATATTTTTATAGAGCTGGTCTCTTTTATGAATTAATTTTTTAATGGATTTTGTTATCCAGGGCAAAGATGGTTTAGCTGTAATTCTTTTAGTGGGTATGAATTTTGATATGCCATCCTCAAGTGTGTGTTTGAACTGCGACCAAAGTTCTTCAACAGACAAAGATTCAGCTTTTTGAAGTATTTCAGATGTTGAGGTTTTAATGAAAGTTTTCAACTCAGTCCAATTTGCCTTTTTATACAAGGTGCAAGTACGAGGCTTTTGTTTGAGGAGGGTAGGCCTAGAAGATATTTCTGTGGATATGATGTCATGATCTGATATGCCAGGTATGACCTTGACGTTGTTAACAAGAGTGTGGTTTGAAATGAGCAATAGATCAAGAATATTGTCATTTCGTGTACTTTCATTGACCATTTGTACGAGGTTATGATCATCAATGATGTTCAGGAATTTATCATATACAGGACTTGTGTTTAAGCCTTCTTTAAAATATGGTGTATGTTCAGAGTCCCAATTTAATTTTGGGAAGTTAAAATCGCCAAGGATTAACTTTGTACCTTTTAAGTTACGCACAAGTTCAAGGGATTTTTCAAATTCTAAAATACTATTCATATCAAGTTCGTGTGGTTTGTAATAAGATGCCAGAAAGAGTGACTTACTACCTTTGATTTCTATTTTTATCCATATTATTTCACAATCGGTGTTCAGTTTTGGTTGTTCACTTGGTAGGAGGTTGTTTTTAACAAGGATAAACACTCCACCACCCTTACCTTTGAGTCTGTCACGGCGAAAAACTGTGTAGCCGAGTTCAGGTGGGAAAATTTCACTGTTATAGTGTTCTTTATTTAGCCATGACTCTGTGGCTGTAACAATATCTGGGTTTTGATCTATTAATAAATTTTGAAATTCATGTTTTTTGTTGACTATTGACTGGCAGTTTATGCATAGAATTTTCAGTTTGGATACATAATCAATTTGTTTTTGTTTTGGATTTT